TCCCAGTCCCTGAGCCCCAATCCCAGTCCCTGAGCCCCACTCCCAGTGCCCCTGCCCCACTCCCAGTGCTGCCCCTCCCCAGTCCCCCCGTACCTGTTTCCAGCCGTAGAAGTGCATGCTGGTCAGCTTCCCGTAGTTGGGCTCGGCGATGTGGATGTTGAGGGACTGGCTCTGGTCGATGAAGGCCCCTCTGTCCGCAGCCATCTTCAGGATGGTTTTCTGGGAGATCTCCCACACCGTCTTGTAGAGCTGCTTCAGGTCATCTGGGATCTCAGGGATGTTCTGAAAGGAACAGGAAGGGTTTTCCAGTGGGGTGTAACCACCAACGGCCCCGGTGTGGGACAGGATCATCCGGGTGGGTCCGTCCAACTCGGATATTCCAGGATCCTACGGCGCTCCCTGCTGTGAAATCACCTCTCTATGACCTTTGTAAGGGGGCTCCAGACTGAGCAGGACCCCTGCCCTGCTCCCTCCTACCTGGATGGAGCCGTTGTGGGCAATGATCTGGTTTTTCATCTCCTCGTTCCACAGGCCCCTCTCCGTGAGGTCCTTCAGCAAGTGGGGATTCACCACCTGGGAGGGGCAAAGAAGGTTTTGAAATGGTCCAACAAGACCCTGCACAGCCCTGACAGAGTCTCACTCCTGGGTCAGCGCTGAGGGATGTGTGTGGCCAGGCAGACCTGGCACAGGGATAACATTTCCACCCCTGGAAGTGTCCAAGGCCAGGTTGGAACTACAGGATCTTTGAGGTCCCTCCCAACCCAAACCATTCTGGGATTCTGCTGGACATGCCAAATGAGAAGGGGGTGCATGGAACTGCCCTGCATGAGGAATGCCAAAAGATGGGACAGGGAGGCATCTTGCTCTTCCAGGACCACTGGCCACAGCCTGAGTCACTAAACAATCACCAGGACAGGTCAGGAGGGGGAGGAACAGAAGCAGTGCAGGCTGAGTAGCTGGGAGGAAAGCACAGCCAAGCTTTCCCTGCTGGGACAGGGTCCCCATCCCACAGCCCTCACCTGCCCTGCACAGGGAGGCAGGTTCATAACCCACTGCTCTGGCCTCACCACTCATGTATGGTGGGATCCTGCAGCCAGGAGGGATGGAGAGCACCCCAAAACAGCTCTGAGGAGACACCTCCGAGGGGATGGACACACCTCCCACACAGGCAGAGACTCCCCTTGTCTCCAGAGAGGTCTTTGCTGTCTCCAGCCTCCAGAACTCAAGTGTTCCACACCCTTTCCTGACAGGCCCCTCTGCATCTGTGGAGCTCTTCCATGGCCCCTCACTCCTCAGGACCATGGTCTCAGTTGCTCTTCCCACAGCACCCGTGTCCTTTCCACCATGTCACTGTCCCTCCTTCAGCAGTCACTCCTGCAGGCCACCCTGAGGCCCCATAAAGGCCTTTCCCAGCCAAAACCAGCACTTCTTTATCGTTTCCCATGTTCCAGGATGGCTCGTGGAACACACAAAGCTCCACGTTCCCTCGGTGCTTGGACACAAACGTTCAGCTGAACTGAGCCACCGAGGTGAGGCCTCCCCTCGTCTCTGCTCTCAGTGCCAGTGATGCCAGACAAGGGCACAGCTCCTGCCCACAGTGCCTGAGCTCACCTGGAACTCCCCCGAGAGGACCCTGCGGGTGTAGATGTTGCTGGTGTAGGGCTCGATGGACTCGTTGTTGCCCAGGATCTGGGCAGTGGAGGCAGTGGGCATGGGGGACAGGAGGAGGCTGTTCCTCACACCGTACCTGGGGACAGCAGGCAGAGTCACAGAGCTGCAGCCAAGGGAGACAGGACAGCAAAGAGCCAAGAACAGCACAGGGACCCAGGAAATCTGGGGGAACCTGCAAACCCCACACCAGGAAAAGGGAAGGGCCACCAAAGTGGCATTGTGGGTCAAGTGGGAGCAGAACTAAAGGCTTTGCTATTTCCATCTAAATCAGAGGCTTTCCCAAATCATTTGGTCATGACACAGGCTGCACAGAACACAATCTGTCAGGCCCTGCACAACCCCAGAGTGCCCAGTCAGAACCAAACCAGCAGCCCATGGAGAGCACGAGACCTCCCCACACCCAGGACAGGAGACAGATCACCACATTTAAAAATTACAGCCAAAACCCCTGAATTAATTCATTACAGGCACTTCATGCCTCAACAGTTCCTGCCTCCAGGATGTTCAAGGCTCAGCTCTTCCCTGGCAGCAGGCAGAGTCCCCAAGCCTGGCTGACAGTGCCTCACTCATCACTACAGGTGTTTAATGGGAATATAAATCCTTCTGCTGATGCACCCAAGATGAAATGAGAGCTCAGCTAAAGCAGGGTAGTGGGGGTGAGCTCCTCTGCCTTGGATGAATAAAAGTGCAAGGAAACCACCCAAAAACCAGTCTGAAGAAAGACCTGCTGGGGTGGAGGGGAACACAGGGGGCTGTTTTTACACTTGGACCCTGCCTGTAGTTTTCATCACTACAGGTGTTTAATGGGAATATAAATCCTTCTGCTGATGCATCCAAGATGAAATGAGAGCTCAGCTAAAGCAGGGTAGTGGGGGTGAGCTCCTCTGCCTTGGA